GAGAGTGTTGATAAGGTCATTTGGATATCGCAGCAGGTGGAGGGTGATGCTACTTCACGTTAGGTAGAACCTATTCCACATACTCCAGATCATACTGCGTCATTTGGGATTCCAGCTGAAATGACACAGGTTGGGGATCATTTGGATTCAGATGCAGATGATGGATTGTTTTTGGATTCGGTTACAGCTGGTGGACATGATTTGGATACGGCCATTGGTTCACTTCAGATGGAGGTGTTTTATTTGTATCGGTTTGGGGCCGCTATCAGTTGCAGATCCGTTGACGATATTGGGGAAGAGTTGCAGACTTTTCTATTTGATTGAGGACCTTTAGAGGCCGTTTGGGTGAACTACGTGAAGGCTCGATTCTTTGGGCAAGAGGATACGTAGGCAGTCAGTTTTGATACAGCCGATTTGGTGAGTAGATACCGATATTTGGGTAAATGTTCGCACTACCGTTTGGATCTCAACTTGTGTGGATGGAATCTATTGTCATGAGTCCGTTGCCGTAGCGTACTGGATGCAACAAGTGAGGCATTTGTTTTGGTTGGTGTCGGCTCAGTTTTGGTAGAAACTTCACTGAGATGGAGAATTGAAGAAACCACGAACGATTTGGTGAAGAACAGGTTTTGAAGACTGCAGGAGTCACATTTGGAGCTTCACGATCGACCACGGTATAAGGTCGGTCGACCGCGAATGTGCACAGACTCTGGGAGGAGTCTGGCTTTGGCACGGTCGACCGCCGCGGTCGACCGCGAGACCCTGTAGGCGAATATTAGGCTCTGTCGTTTGTCACGGTCGACCACCACGGTCGATCGCCAGACCCTGTAGGAGTTTTCTAGGCTCTGTCGTTTGTCACGGTCGACCGTGGCGGTCGACCGCGTATCGGGTCAGGCCCATGTTTGGTTTCCTGTTCAATTTGGGTTTGGTGTTTGCTATAAATACCAACATACGAATTAGGGTTTCTTTGGTTTGGATTGGAGATTGGTTTGGGGATATTGGAGCGCAGAAAAAGAGTGTTTTTCTAAGCAATTATTTGAGGGTCTATTTGGAGAGATTAAGAGATTTGTTGGTGAGATTAGTTTGTTCCTTCGAGTGATTTGTAATCTCAAGTTGTACTCTTTTTTTCTATTAGTAAAAACTCAATCCCCTTCTTGCCCCGTGGACGTAGGTAATTTGCCAAATCACGTAAAACTATTGTGTTTGGATTTGTACCGTTGTTTTGATTTGTTTGGCATTTATCTCGATGTTCGTTTGATTTGGTTCTCGAAGCACGCCCGTTTGGTTGTCCCGCTTCTGCGCCGCGCACAATAGCAACTTCAAAATAAAAGCAGCATTTTTTAACTAGGCAACAACAAAAAAATAAAAAACTAGTTTAAGAGTTAGAACTTGCACTAAAAAAAAAGAATAAACAAACTAGTTTAAGAGTTAGAACTTGCACTAAAAACTAGTTTAAGAGTTAGAACTTGCACTAAAAAAAGACTAAAATTAAGGCCTAATTTTTGTCAAACTGAAAATAAGATTTTGATCAAAATTGTATCAACTAAAATAAGTTTTGTGAAGTTATCAAACACACCCTAAAAGTGCAGGTAAGACAAATCTCACCATCAAGCACAAGGAGGAGGAGGATAGCAACACGATGCAATTTTGTTCCTTTGA